ATAAGGTGGACACTCAGGTGATCTACCACTCCCATACCACCTTCATTCCTGATTGGGGAGTAACTGGAGATGGCTTCGAATCTTGACAAAGTCATCTAGGGGACCTCCTCCTCGTCTTCATCCCGAATCCCCTGCTTTGTNNTTTGTGACTTCAGCACTGGACTTTCAAAAGGCAGAGTGCCAGAGAGTCCTCCGTCCGTGTGACAAAGGCAGAGTGCCAGAGCTGGCTGCTGTTGCTAGCAGGGCAATGTTGTTTGATTTCACTTGGCAGTCACAAAGGCAGAGTGCCAATGTGAAATCGCATTTCTTGAAACGTTTGAAGTTTGCCACTTTTGCAGTCCGTCCGAACTGGCACATTTGAGCTTGCCATTGACAAAACAAAGTCCTCGCCCGTGCATGAATGGTACGTGCCACAAACAGTCATGTCTGCAGGGACTTGATCCTTCGTTTCATGTGACAGCCCAGTGAAACGCCTCAGGTGCTGTTGTCGACGCTGCTTGGCTACTATGGCAAGGCTGGAATGCATGAATGATGCAGGTGATTGTTGAAGCTGAAATGCTTGCTATCTGGCCGTTCATGGGACCATGCCACATAATTGAATCATGCAATCTGTGTATAGTCACTAGTGAGTGGATGCTGAATTCTTGACCTGGCCGCCATCAACATATTTGAGTTGAAGATCGAGTGAGTCAGTGTTTCTGCCCTCTTTGCACTCTCGCCGAGAGCCATGGGAAAGTCGAGGAAGAGCGCTCGTGTCAGCGAGGTTCCCGTGACGGCAGGCATGATGTTGCCAAACATGCCAGGAATGGGAATGAACCCATTGGCTGCAATGATGAACCCTTTCATGATGCAGCAGCAACCACAGATGCACCCCCTGCAGCAGATGCAGCAACAGCAGCAGGGGATGGCTGCTGGAGGGGGTGAGTCAAGGCAGAGTGCCAACGACAACGAATTATCCTCCTCGGAATCGTCAGACCAAGAAGTGAAGAGGATTCATAAGGAAAACAAGAAAAACCGAGCAAGGCAAGAAGCAGCGATGCAGATTGACCGACTGGCAAGCGCTACCGCTGATCCAGACATGATCCCGAGAAGCTGCACTTTCTTGCGTAAGGTCCCTCTAGCTGCTTGTCTATCAACAATCTAGTTTTCAAGTCAACAATTATTCCTGAACCCTTCCCCACAAAGCCAATCTGAGCCGTTCTGACTGAGGTGAAGATTAAAGCTCTGCTCGAGCGGGTTCACTCCAACTGGGATGCTTCGGTCACGGCTGACCAGACAATCCTAACGTCGCTGCAGCTGCTGTTCCTTCTGACCAACCTGAAGCCGACCACAAAGATCAGTGAGCTGAGGGTGGATCAGAAATACACCTTGCTTGGTCAGCGATGTGTGATGGCCCATTCCCGTCTTGCCGCTCACCAGGGCAGCAATTGGCGCCGCATAGTGGAACCAGTTCTGGGAGCTGGGGTGAATATCACTGAGGAGAGTGTCCAGAGGGTTGCCTTGGAATGTGGCTGGCAGTCCACATGGATGACCGAGGAGGTAACGACCTATGCCCAGCGTAAAGCTGCAGCAAGAAGGCAGAGTGCCGACGAGACGCAAGGACGTCTCAGTTTCACTCAAAGACCTGCTCCAGCTGTTGCCCCAACGGGTCCGCCATTGCAAGGCAGAGTGCCAGACGCAGTCGTTTCTGATGCTTTGCCAACGGGTAATGACAGCCAGGCTGGGACTGGGGAACAAGGCAGAGTGCCGATTCAACAGCCACCTTCTTCCCCTCGTGCTGCTTCTCGTTCTGATCCAAGCCAGGCAGCCAATG